ATCAGTGATATTTGCTGTGTGAGAAAATCATTACTGAATATGCTGCCAATGAAGTATATCTATTGACTGTGCCCGACGGGTTATTTTTATCTTGTGCTTTCTGAAAAGAGTTTATGTTCAAAATTATAAATTACGAAGAACTGATTAACGGGAAATCATCAACGCGCCCGCGTTGTGTGTAATTACTGTTAGCATGTTAATGGCTTGTAATTCGACAGTGTACAGTGAATATAATTATTTCTTATCTCTCTCATTTTTGAAATTCAGCAAATTTGTATATGTAATTTCCAGATTGGATAAGAAAAAGTGGATGCGCAACTAATTTCTAGCTTTGAATCTCAATTAAGAGTATTTGAGACAAGAACCCAATGTAATTATCATCAACACATAAAACTCACAGCTTAGACCTTCAGTAATGCCATCTCAGAAGCAAATTTTACATCACATCAGAGCCAAAGATTGATAACAAGCCTCAAGTCGTTTAGGCAACACGTACCAAGTGCTAAGTTAATATCGTGTAGAAAAACCTACATAATGTCAAAAAAACCAGCATAATGTCAAAAAAAATCGGCATAATGTCACTTTTCAAGATACGTGATACACGTGCAGGCCAGTCATTCTTAACTTTGTTCATATATTTTCATGGTTTCATGAACCCCCATTCAAAAGTGGACCTGATTTCTAATCTTTGGCCTCTGTGTAAAAACTATTTTAGATTACACAATTTATTGATGCAATTTATTGAATAAGATATATTGGTTGAAAAATGTAAATTGTTAAAGAAAGTGTTTCGGGTGGGTTATCTTTGACAATCAAATATTGACATTGGGAATTTCGGATTTGTAGTAATTGAAGAACAAGATCTGAATGCACATAATCCCAACCTACGTCTTGTAGAATGAATTGTATAATAGTAATTTTAGATCCAAGACAATTTTTCAGTCGCAACATGTTCCTAAATTAGAACAAATCTTTTAGAATAAAATGTGTAATCTATAACGATCTTGGCTCTGACCGCTAAATATGACTATTTTATCTCTAGACACGCATACCAATATGCAGCGATTTCACTTAAAAGTAGCCTAGTGCATACCCTTACACTCCATCAGAATATTTATGACACATTAACTGCAACGTTATCAAGCTGCACTCTATGGACAGTGTCTGTCGCTATCAAATTACCTCGACCAGTGATTGGTCCGTTTTTACTCTCAATCCATTAGCGAGCCTATAAAAATAGCCGGTTGTGCACTAGTAAATTACGGAATATTACAGATAAGTGGCCGGTATTATCGATGAAAAGTCTCTAAAACATCGCTATTAATATCGCGGGAGCCTCACTTACGTGCATGAGAGATCATATTCTCAAAACAGATTTATCTCTTTTGGTATACAAGTGGTATACAAGTTTTCCGGTGTTTCTTTGTCTTAAAAGAAACGGGGAAGTACCGTTACTAAACGCCTTCAATTTTGGACCACAATTACATAAATGTGAAAAGGCAAATATCTATATACGGTGTTGAAGTTAAAATTTCGAAACCAAAAATAGATCTTTGCAGGGGACAAAGGTATCAATTTAAATATTTTTACATGTAGTCAGATAGCCTGCCCAATACATACAGAAATCTTGATGACTCAAAGAAGAAGAAGATGGCGAAGAAGAAAGAATATTTTCTAACAAAAGTTGAGGTCTCGTGTCTTGGGTATTGAGGCGAAACGACGTTGCCTATCTATTCATAATGAAGTCAGCACTGTTCTTGCCCAATGACAATTTATATCACAAAAACTGGTTATTTTATCATTTTGTATACTGGGTGTTTCAAATTCAATTCTCACCAATAAAATATTGGAAACAGTATGGGACAGTTGCGCATTTGGGTAACTATGAAAATGGCACTTAGAAAGTTTCAAAATGATGGGTATTTCTGTAGAGGGACGGCAAAGACTGAATTTGCTTAAAATCGTTTTTATTTTCTCCTGACTTTGAGATAAGGATTTCAAAATAAAAAGCACGCTAACACTGCCTCTTTTTCTCCTCTACAATTAGAATTTCAATATGATGCTTCGTTTCTTGTCCTCAATCATCAACTTTATCTTTTTATAGACGCCATTGTCAAACCTGAGCTATTTCAAAAAACTTCATAATTGAACCTGAAAGTGACAGTTTACATGTACTGTTTCTGAAATGTGTTTAGGAAGCTGTAACATTGTCTAGACTTCTATTTACTGCAAAATGTTTCTATCAGTTACATAAAGCAGTACAGTTTTCAATACTTACAATATTCCGCTCAAATGATATGAAAAACTTTCAGCAATATGTTGTTCTTTGTTCGATGTGTTAAGACCAACTAGATTACTTTTCAGACGTTTCAAGTTTTATAATATCAATCCGTGTAATGGTAAAATATCACGTCATTAAAATCAGAACTAGGGACTCTTCACTTATGCCTAGTTCATAAAAACTGCAGGAATGCTTTGCTGATATGAAAAAATGACTATCTGATAATTTCAAAGACTAGTTAAGAAATCATGTTTTTTCAAATAACTAAGACTTGGCAATATCAATATATGACATAGATTTTTTGGATCATTAAAAGATCTATTCACCTGTGCCAAAATCCAACATGGCGTCCTCAAGAAGAAATACAGTTGATGCTGGATGACAAGAGATCTATTCAGACCTTGTTATAGATATGATAAATCACTCTCTTTTAATTGCTTTTAATGGCTTCGATCATTCCTCACTGAATTTAATATGCAGCTTTCTGTTAAATAAGTCGTTGTAACTGAATTTTCTACAAAACATCTGATTTCCTCAGGCGTGCCCCAAGGATCCATTCTTGGACCACTTTTCATTATGTTATATATAGCAGATCTGAACAGAGTTGTGAAATTTTTTAGTATCCAAGTTTTTGCTGACGACTCACAATTATATCATAGTTTCAAACCTGAATATTTAGAAACTTCGGAAGCACAAATAAGACAGGACCTGAATTCCATTGAAAATTATGCAACAGAACATAGTCCCCGGTTGAATCCTTCTAAATCCAAAGTTACTACTTTTTCTCATAAAAAACTAAGGTCCTTTATAGAAATAATTTGAACATTACTTTAAACGGTCATGCTATTCAGAAAGAAGAATCAGTCAAGAACATAGGTTTGTCAATAGACGAAAATCTTTATTTCCCATGAAAATAATGTAACTATAACATGTTTTACTGTTTTACGGCATCTGAACTTAAATGAAGACATACTTATTTTAGATCCAAAAATTTTATGTGAATCTTTAGTAATATCAAAATTCACATATTGTGATTTAGTATACCATCCATTTCTAGATTCAGTTTCAGCTCAAAATTTCAAAATTCGTGTTGTAGATTGATTTTCAACTCAAGAAAATGAAATCATATTAGTTTATGTGTCGAACAGCTGAACTGGTTTAAGGTTGCAAAGTTGTATAAGATTAATTTATTATGCTATGTTCACAAACTCCTACATACTTGATTTCTTAATTTTTGAAAAATAAATTGATATTCACTGACACTTTAACTATGCGTCTTCACACAACTTCTTTATTTCATAAATGCATTACCTATAATTCGATCAACCTATACAATGCATCGACTGCTAAACATATTGATTCTAATAATTTCAAAAAGCAAATTGAAGCTCAAATCTGAATTAACTCCCAGTATATAGATCATCCATATTTCCTCACATTTAACCAATGGTGACAGTCGGATTTGAAACCCCCGGTGTACTTTCAGCCAATGTGAAGACGTTATTTTTATTTTTCATGACTGATATACTTTGACAACCGACATATTGCTCTATTTTTTTGCAGCACAACCGTTTGCAGCTCATCGCCATTCATCAGTCATCATCAACAACAAATGGCGTTCGTCAGTTTTGCGGTTTGGGAGCGCAAAGAAAAGCCGGGTAAAATTATTCCAAAATGGCTTTAGGTAGCCGTATGTTGTCAGCAAAAGTGTACAGACTACCTGAAGTAAGGTCACTCGCGGAAGAATCTTTCATATTCGGAATTGTAGTGCCGCCAACATCACCAGAAATCACATGTTCGTCACTTCCCACCTCAATTGAGGAGGAAGTATCGTGATTCCAAAAAAAAAGAATCCGCGGTATTAGGATTTTGTGTGGTACATGAAATGTACATACATTAGGTTTATTATTTACTGTTCAGTTGCAGCGGAATTGACATCAAACCTTTCCTCTCAGCGTAAGTTATCAACATGATGTTCAGCTCTCAGAACACCTTACTCTGACGTCAACAAATGTTGGGAAATTGAGCCGATTCTTAAAAAAACTAAAAAAAGTAGGTCTTCGGGTTATGACTAAAACTATGATCCAAAAGGCTCATTGAAAATCTTCCCCTTAGTACTTTATCTGCTTTGACAGACGCTAATAACATATCCTTATTGCTTGTATATTGCAATGACTATTCCTTTTTATCAAGGAGGCGATGCTAATCGTCTAATTATAGACCAATTTCTTTTTAGTCTATAATCTATAAAATTATTGAAAAACTGGTCAAAACTGTACTATTGAGTTTTCCAAATAAACATAACTTGCTGCGTAAACGTTAATGTGGATTTTGTAGTTCAAAAGGCACTCACAATGCAATTTTTTACTGATAGACCTTTACTTGAAACTGAAACTAATGATTTTGCTTGTGTTGTAAAAAATCGCTATGGTAGCTAGCCTTGAATGTATCCGCACTCTGTCATGTTTACTGCTCATTCGGGAGTCCCTAGGGGTCTGTTCTGGGCCCCATTCCTTTCCTGATATAAATTAACGATTTCACATACCTCTTATGGTACTTTATTCATTACCTTTGTCAGTAAGAACAATGTACTGATGGATTGATTTCGACTGACTGATTGATCCATGAGGTATTTAGGGGAGGGAGGGGGTGCATGATTTCTCTTCAATTTCATCACAGTGATTTTAGACTACGAGCTAAGCAATCTCAAATACTAATCTTAACTAGTCTAAAAAATAAAAACAAAGAAGTAAATCGTATTTTACTAAAATAAATCCAACGCATCTACAATAAAAATATATATTTGTTATAACTGACAAAAGGTCCACAGATAAAATTAATGCACGTCTATATGAAAAAATATGCCAAATATTCCCGTCGCTCTATAAAGTATTGCTCGGATTTTAACGAGCTTTTGACACAAGCTTACTACTTATTATCATGTCAATGACGAAAAAGCTTTGAGGCTTTTTAAAATCGGCCCAGTGGCGACACCTAAAAAACAAATTATTCTAGAATGTCCCGAAACTTCTTTTGAGGAATCAGAATTTCCAAAAAATCCCTGATTTGGTTCTTCCTCGCAGTACTGCAACAACCCTTCAGTGGCAAGGCATTTCCATTTTCCATTCATTATACATATAATGGCGCTTACAATTTTCAATTTTCTTGAATATTAAACAAATATATCAATACGTGGAAAGTACTGACTCAATCTACTTGACTTCACCTTTGTTTAATCGGTTTAGGTCAGGACAGGGATAACGTTTGAATTTGTCTGATTGAGTAACTACAGAAATTTTGAGCCTTTCATAAGTTTTTCAAGCGGTATCGAAATGAATGCTGGATTCCGGAATTTTTGAGCCCCATAAACAGTTTTGTGACGTCATGGAATAATCAGAACAAATTAAATATTTGAAGCTCGACAATTTGGCTACACCCAAAATTCATCAGGTGTTCAAAATTGGTTCAGTGGCGGGGAGATTAATTTCGTTTGTCCTTCGAGTTTTTGATGAACTTGGTCGCAGTCAAAAAACTTATGAATGGATTAACAGTATAAGAAATCTCAAAATTTGCTTCTCGACGTATTTCAACTTTCTGATAAAAAAAGATTTTAGGGAGTCAAATATCTTGTGCGACCCTACTATTACTATTCCGTACACTATGTCAGCTTGGACGGTGTTAATGAATAGGTGCAAGTGCGTGACGAAAATTGCTAAAACCAGAGACAATTTCTGGTCTTCAGGAATCAAATTACACTTGTGCCATTGATGGTGAGCCGACAGAGAAACCGGTAATGGAAAAATTATAGGGCAGAGTGTTGAGGTGTAACCGAACACCATACGGAATTTTTTATTTCGACTCCAACACTATCAATCGGTCCAAGCTTTATGTGAAGATAACCTTAAAAACAGCTGAATTTTTAGAAAATACAAACAATCCGACTGCAGTAACTGGAAAGAATAAAGATTTTATTGTGCTGTCAATATGAATCCAATGTCAAAGTCTGCGTTTAAAATACGCCATTTTGCTTTTACAATGTTTTAGTGTACATATTTAGTTCTCGCACTATCAAGACAAATCTATAGCTACCTCGAATGCCAAAATCCATCAAGCCGTTTAAGCTGTAGGACATAGAAATTTGACATTTTTATTGAAAAGTTACTTGGTTTTTTATAAAAAATTGTTATACTACATTTGCACCATTTAGAGAAATCTAGAGAAACCTCATATGTTAAAATTAATCAAGCCATTAAACCTGTAGCCCGTGAGATAGGAATTTCGAGGTTGCATTTTTTATTTAAAATCTTCCATTTTGTTTTTATAAAATTTTATTACAGCCAGTGTCACCACTGCTAAGATGAATAAAAAATACCTCATATGCCAAAATTAAGGCGTTTGGCATGTAGCCCATGAAATATACTTTTTTGTCCACCCACATAGATACGCGCGAAAAACATAACGATCCGATAATAAAAATTGTATACTAAGACACATATAAATCCGAACACCCAGTTTAAATGGTTTTATTTTAATAAAAGTTGGTGAATGTATTTATCTTACTGTAAATAACAAGTGAAAAAATTTTCAGCCTTATCAGTTGGACATTCCGGTTTTTATACTGCTTTTTTTTAATTCACTAACGCTCTAAAAATGAATATTTCAGCCGCAGTAAAGAATCAACGTTGGCGGATTTTGGTTCTTGACATCCTTCACGATCGGTTACGATGCCTAGAGTACGGAGACCTGTACGATTTCGTCAACTTAGTGAGTTTGGTAGGGGCCGTATAGTGGGACTTCGGGAAGCTGGACTTTCTTTTCGGGCCATTGCAGTTAGAGTGCAAAGAAGTGTAGACACTGTGGTTAGCTGTTGTCAGGCATGGCTTCGAGAAGGCCGTACGCAAAGAGCAAGGGGCACTGGACCCCGCCGTAGAACAACACACCGTGAAGATCGCCGCCTAAGATTATTGGCCTTAAGGGACCGTTTCTCCACTACCAGGTCCATTGCAAATGAATGGTTTGCAGAACACGGAAGACCTATTGGCATGCGAAGTGTTTACCGACGAATGAGAAGTTTTGGCTTGTTTTCATACCGGCCACACTGGGTCCTCCCTTTAACTCGAGAACACCGACGTAATCGCCTTGAATGGTGCAGACAACGGTCACTCTGGGGTCAGGAATGGAACAGTATTGTCTTTAGTGACGAGTCTCGATTTTGTTTAGGCATGCACGATGGTCGTGCCAGGGTTAGAAGGCGACGTGGTGAAAGGAGGAATCCACAGTTTTTTGTTGAAAGACATGTTCATCACACTGTTGGAGTTATAGTTTGGGGTGCTATAGCTTATGGTTCCAGGTCACCTTTAATCTTCATCAGAGGTAACATGAACGCGCAGCGTTAAATCCACGAATTTCTAGAACCCCATCTTTTATCCTATCTTGACACCCTGGCAGATCCAACTTTCCAACAAGATAATGCCCGACCACATGTTGCAAGAGTCACAATAGACTTCTTTCAACATAATGATGTCACATTGTTACCATGGCCACCAAGATCTCCCGACTTATCCCCAATTGAGCACGTGTGGGATATGATGGGTAGGAGATTGCTCAATTTGCAACGTCCTCCTCAGACTCTAGAAGCACTTCGACAGGAGTTGGTGGTTGCCTGGAATGAGATATCACAGGAGGACATTGACCACCTAATCAGAAGCATGCCTTGGCGCGTGAGGTACCCTGTTACACGCATGCGCGGCCTGTCGTGGTTATAGGATCGTTTCTGGAATGTAAAAGGTGTTGGAACGGATTCGGAATCGTTTTGTGTCTCGAAATTGACAGGATAGCCAATTATGCGGGATCTACCAATTTTCGGCATAGCTTTGAAGAGAGAATAAACAAGTGCTAAGTGCTAACGTTAAAAGAGCTTCATGTGAGTCATTGGTTTTATATATGTGGTACATTACTCTGATATCTTATATTACAGTTGCCTGGACTGTGATAAAGATTCGTTTGCAATAAATTCAAAATCCCTTATGTAGATTTGCTTATGGACTAACAAATTGGTTGGCTGACTGTGGAAAGAAAACTACTCTACTATGTCTATCTTACATTTGTATATGAATTAGTAACGACTTCCATCCTACCATATTTATTTGAAAATCTTACACTTTCTAAAGTTAAGTCAAAGAGATAAAACATGAGCATATCTCGTCACCATTCATCCATTCAACACTATTTCAGAGAAGATATCTTTTTCTTGAGGATACTGATTTTGATTCTGTGTATTACATTTTTCTGAATTCTTGTGTAATGATCATTTTAAATATACAAATAGCCTTTGGCTAAATTTCGCCCTTCATAAAGCAGGTATATTACTTTCATTATTGTATGAAGCTGCAAATATTCAGTCCAACAAATCACGGAATCTGGTATTTGTCGATATAGCAACATTGCTGGTAGCTGTCAGAATCACCTAACCTAACCGCCATTTGCCGTTTGTTTTGGTTTATAGCTCTTCTGCGCATGTCCGTTCCTTCAGTTCTCGCTTCACTGCAGGTACCAATATCACCATAACAAAACCGTCCCAAAACGGGTTGGAACACAATGCAGAATCGTTCTGTTACTGTGACGGACAAGGTTGGAGCACTTGTTCCTGAATGTGCAAGCCCATGTAATTGTCCATACTCCATAGTCCCCACTCATTTGATAACGATGACGCTAGTTTCTTTCCTGCTCTGAGGCCCGTATCGTCAGTGGTTCCTACAATATTGTAGGGCGCCTTTATGGCCTCCTTGATTGTCATACTCCTTTCTCTTCTTCAAAAATTTCTAGATTACACTTGTCCCGTGTCAGCGTCAGCGCTCTCCTATTGTGAAGATATGTTTTCCTTTTAAATTGTGGGAAATTTCAGGCTGATAAAACATGATATAACTCAAAAGCAATCACAATTTGACGCAAATAGATGTTTGTGACATAACCTCAAAATAGAGCACTGACATGGAAAAATAGAAAACTATGACAATCAAGGCGCCCTACAATTGTAGGGACGACTGACGATACCGGCCTAAGTATCGACCATTTGGCAACGGTTTTAAGGGCAAATTACGGGGAAATCTATGATGTGTGAAATATGGACTGATAGGAGCGTAAAATTAATAGCGTTCGAAACGTATAAACATACTGCTGCCAAAAAATGATATATACCCTCCCACACCTCCTACAACCCCTGGATTTTCACGACTTACAAAAAATGATCACGATTATGCCCCTAACTCCGTTTTTTTTCCTTGGCATATTAGTAATCCTGTGTTTAAATTTCATTAAAGTCCGAGCAGCATTTTCAAAGTTATAGGAGGTTCAAAGATTATCGGACAGATTGACAGAGGGAAATAAGTGACATGGTTTTTCGTTATGTACATGTCATATAAAACCCAAAAAACATAATATCTCATTTCGAAATATTTCGCGATTACAACACTTCTTCCCAGTAGGCGTGGGAAGTAAAAAGAAGGAAATCGAATAACATTCAAGGATTAAAATTAATTCATTTTCCAAATTATTGCTACTCTCAAGGACCTTAATCTATTGAGTGAATGTAATTGATAGATCAGTAGCGTAACGTACAGAAAAAATAAGACATATCTACGAGTCCCTTCCCACTTCAGTTGGCCCAACTATTTAAATCTTAGTTTTTTTCTTATCAAACACAAATAATAAAAATGTAGCATGGTGTTA